AATTAAATGGATGCTGAGCAAAGGGCAAGGAACCACAATGGGAACATATGGTCAATTGATACGAGCTTTGGATATGGATCATAGAGTGAGAGAAGCACAAAAATTCTGGGAGACGAAAATTGGCACTGATTTGCATTCAGTTCCTTGGCAGTTGTGCCATCTCATGATATCAGTATATTACCGAAATAACATGTTGGAAGATCTTGTTGAAGTAAGTTTTCTATTATGATGTTCTTATATATATTATCTGATTAGTAATACTGATGAACAATGATTATTATTTGAATATGATAGAACAGGTAAGCCATTACCTGGAATTTCACTATTTGTAGTGCTCATTTTTACCCAACCTTCTAATTAGCAATTTTTTTTTACTCAAGTGTAACTGTAACAATTGAGGAGTAGAATAGCTATCACATAAGAAATAATTTTTTTTACCCAGCCATGATGAAGTTGATAATCTTTAGAGCATAATGAAAAAATTGTTTACCGTTAATGAAACAATGATTATTATTTGAATATGATAGAACAGCATTGGATAATTTACCCAGTCGCATCTGTTGAGGAAAAATATCAAATAAAATGCTTGTCTTAGTTGATGTGATGGTTATGTGTTTGCTTATTGCTGTACTATTGTAGGCTAATATTGGCCTTGCATCCCCTCTATTTTGGATAGAGTTATATATATTAAACTTTAGATGGATACACAGTTAACCTTTTTTTCATGTTATTGTCCTTTTGGTATAAAGCTTTTCAAGGGACTGGAAGCTTTTGATCGTAAGCCTAGGGATAAAGCGATCATTCAAAAGGTAGCAAATGCCTATGAGATGTTAGGCTTACTTAAAGAAAAAGAGAGGATTCTGGAGAAATATAGCTATCATTTCACAGCGGAAGGACCAAGCAAGAAAAATAGCAGGAACTCATCTAAGTCGAAGAAAATTCCTCTTGTGTCTGAGAAAGGGGAACACAAGGAATCTGGAGAGTCCTCAGCTGAGGAACAGTAAGAGCCAGGTAGTCTCATTATTTTTACACCAGTAAAAAAAATTTAAATTGGTTTTGATCTGAAACTGTTGTTGTTCCAACACTGCGAGATTAAAATTTTCAGGTACATGCTGCACTCATGTTATAGTTTCATTCCAAAAGAGATGCATTTGGTTTCTGGACAGGGATCTATTCCAATCTTCCCTATTTAGCTAATTTTCTGAAGAAAGAATTCAAGGCTGTTTAAATTTTGACTGTTTGAATTCCCAGTGAGATCTCATGATTTGCAGCCAAGATGTTTAAGGACTTAAGTGTTCTATTGCTTCTAATAGTATTATCCAACAGGAGCTGTTCATGATGCACCCCTTAAATGGAATGCTACAGAGATTCATCCACTTCTGACAAGATGTATAGAAAATGTATCTTTTATGATTGAGAACTTGAGATTGAATGCCTGTTACGGTGTTACTTATTGAGCAAGTTTTAAGTTAATGGAAAGCATTTAGAAAATGTGATCACAAAGCAAATCATGTGACGGTTGATGAATCATAAAATTATTCTGAACAAATATTTAAATTTTTACTTTTAAATATATTTTTTCTTATTTTCTTATTTTGTGATCATTATTCTTAAGACTGATCTGAGTGCAGATTTCGTAGCTTAGGGACTTAGTGAATCAAATACTGAGCAAAATCCTGTTGAGCTTGTAGAGCCAAGTCAGCATCATCCCATTCATCACGGTAGGACTCCGGACGCAAGACCCTGTTCTTAGATGTGGCATTATACATTTGTACTCTCCATTCCTCAATAGCAGGTAACCCACACTGATCTGATATCCAGTTATCGTAGTCCCACTGCAATGATACAATCCCAAACATATCTATCAGGTGTCTTTCTGAGGTCACAATATAAGTCTCAATGATTTAAAATTTAAGTAGACAGAAGCCAAGTAGGCACAGGTAAAAAGTACCTGAAGATCGGACATTTTATGAGTGTAACGTTTAGGTGTGCCAGATGCTTCAAGTGATGAGTAAAATGCTTGAATATCTTCGGTCATCTTCTGTTTTGAAGGAAGTGCAATGCGATTAGACAAAGTTCCAGCTATCCATTTGCTCTGCCGTTCGAACACGGGGAAGGGAGCAACCTGCCATTCAACATGTAGCCACTTTATAAGATGAACAAATTCAAAATTTTCTTTAAAGCTAACGAAGACGAAAAACTACGAACCATCCAAGGCAACCCAACAAATGAAAGCCAAGGGGCCAACTCTGGTGGGAAAACATGCTGGTAAAGTGGTCCTACACGGTTGTCATCCACAGTGACTGCGCCCTTTGTTTCAAGGAAAGGGAAATCATACTTGTACCTACAAAAGGAACAAAACAAACACTCATCAAAATTTATTCAGCTTTTTATTTTCTTTCTGTTTTTGTATCTCAATTGCAGGTTATTCTTGCAAAAATTCAATAGCAAATGCTCAGAGTATACCCAGTGCAATGTACAATGAAGTCGGCGCTGAGTGCCTTTCCATCTTGGAAAACCACTGTACTTCCATGAACGCTCTCAATCTGCAATATTTAACAAATACTAGCGTTTCAGACCAACCACCATTCCTGACAGTAGATGTCAATCTGATTGATGGATAATAATAATTGTCATCCAATTATCACCATGGATGATAGGTTTTACCTTAGAATGAAGCCAAATGTTATCATGGCCAGGCACTTTTCCGAGCTTATCTTCTTTAATTGACCTATCAGCAATGTGTACTTCTTTAGCAACTGTGGCAATTTCTCTAGAGATATCAGCAGCACTAGCAGCACCACCTATTATAACTACAACCTGCCAAAAGTAGAAGTGGAAAAACTAAATCAGATCATGTCAAAATGAAGTATGTGATTGCCTCCTTGTTACGATGTAACTCCAAAAGGTCAAATTACATATCGATAATTCGTTTGTGAATCTGTCATAGAAGATGAAGATTCACTTCCAATGACAGTGTTGATCCCCTTTCCTAACAATTTTCTATCCTGCCACAAATTCAAGTGAGCATGGTACTGATCACATAAGTAATCAGAGACAGGATAATATCATGTTATCTTTAGTTCCTTCATCTTCCTTGCAAATGAGTATAATTCCTAACTTCTCAATTGAAAACTTTGTTGGGGCATCAAAGGAAGATAAACATGATATAGTTGCATAATCCAGATATTTAAGCATTGAATCCCAATGCATGCACATCCCAATTTAAAAACAAAATATCTGACAAATATGCCAAAAACAATATATATAGAATTAGAAGATTAAGGAACCCGGCACATACTTGATCTTGAAAGGGCTTGGGTGTCCTATAATTATGGCTATGCATCTGCTTCCCTCGCCATGCATTAATGCCTGGAAAGAGTGTAAAAGGGAACAAGGTTTATAATAGTACAAATATCATATGTCTGGTGTTCTGCCGCTTAACATTTCATGAAGTTTTTTAATGATTAATGGATAATTTCATACTAAAATATTTTTTGTAAAATCATATTCAAGAATGGATATTTAAGAGTAATTTCATGACTAATTATTATTTAGAGAACTTAACTAATAATTTTCTTGCTCATTGTTGCACTTACTTGAGGGTGTTCTAGTACAACAACATTTTAGCACTAAAAGAATAAAAGGATGGACCAATACACTTTCCCAAATTTTGAATCCATGATCTTCAATTTATAAATTGCGCTCAGGCTCATCTTCTTCATCTTAGCACATAAAGTATAATTTGACATTGGACCTAACCTTATTCTCATATCTCATATTTCAGTTCCCAAATTCATGTTATGTTATAAACATTGGACCTATCTTTATAAGTTGAGGTGAAACTTATAAACATTGGCCCTAGCCATATTCTCATATATCACATTTTTGGAGGATGTGCCATTATTAAAACTTTCAGATCATAAATTCCCACTGAGAATAAAAGCATATTTGATGAAACTAAAATCAGTCTTGGCAATTGCAATATAAAAATAATATCAATATTTTAGTCTTGGCAATTGCAATATAAAAATAATATCAATATTTTGTGTCCGATTCATCACGCAAAAATTATTTTTGAAATAATATCAATAAATTTTGTGTCCGATTCATAACGCAATAATATCAATAAAATGTTTCTTTGAAATTTAAAATAAATGAAACAATGATGAATAATTATTTTTTTGGTTATGTGTCCGATTCATAACGCAATAATATCAATAAAATGTTTCTTTGAAATTTAAAATAAATGAAACAATGATGAATAATTATTTTTTTGGTTAAATTGATTGGTTTTTCATTGGAAATAAAAAAAACAAAAGAATAAGTAAAGCGCAGAATCTGCAGCAGAAAATGATTTTTGTGACTAGGAATGAAATAAAAGTTTTCCTTTTTGCGACAGCGTAACATAGAAATGACGGGGAAAGAAAATAACCAGGGATATGAGCATTTCGAGGCTGAACGTGATGTCCATTGCAAATGACAACGGCATCGTAAATCTCATCAACACATTCATTTTTCGATTTCAACGGTCTAGATTTCACCCTCCATTTCCCTCCTTCACCCAATTCAACAAGCACAACCTCTGTCTCTAACCTCACCAATTCACCGATTCCGAAATCAGCAGCGAAATCTTGCAAATACATCAATACCTCTCTATGACTCGGGAACCTTCTAGAATCTCTTCCTTTCTCATCTCGCTTCCTGAACGGGTAATCTCTAAACCCCATACATTCCCGAGGCAGATTGGTTCGGAGCGAAGCGTACAGGCTCGAGTGGATCACGTTCCGGTTTGGATCCAAACCAAGCGGGTCTGATTCCACGTCTGGATTATAAACCCATGTCCCGCCAATTTGGTTCCCTCGCTCGAATACTACAACCTCGTGGCCTTCTCGTCGGAGCTCGCGTGCGGTAACCAGACCGGCGGCTCCGGCGCCGATTACGGCGACAAGGAGCGGTGTTATTGCGGTTGACATGAATGGTGGTAGGCAAAGTGTGACGTATTTGATTGGTATAATTCTATGTGCCGCGGGGGATTCAGGTTTTTTCGTTTATTGAGACGATTTTTTTATTCAAAAATAATTTGTTACACCAAATAACATTTTAATATCCTAAATTACCCTTTCACCCATTTATTTACCCTTCAACAACCAACCCACTTCTTCCCTTATTATAGGTTGAATTATTTGTAAAGTGACAAATCAAGTTGAATTTGTTATCGTATTCGTTTTTGCTTTCGTAAGGTTGGGTTGGTGTGTTCGTGAGCCTGTGCAAGATTTTTTACTTTGGAGTTGGCCATGAATGTGTAAATTTATGTATTCATTCTTTTTTTAACTTCCCTCGTTCTCGTTTTGTTACCGGGATCCGTGGCTACTGGGATTCGTGAGTACCCATAAATAATATGGGCAACAGATTGAGTCTGAGTTCATGTTTTGGACCCATAGGTAACTGAGTCATGTGATTTTAAGATCCGCTATTAAATGGGTCTGGTTCTTGCTAATGAGGTATCCATACCCGAACCTTTTATTTATTCCTAAATCTAAATATATAGGGGTTGTATATAGTGAAAATGACCAACTTATGTGATAGTGAGAGAAATAATTTTTAACCCTTAGATTAAACTTAATGGATAAGATTAGATTACTAATACTAGTCCTCATGTGTCTATCTCTCTAAGTCTAGATGGATTTTACCATCATTCTGACTATATACATCCCCATATTTTCTAACTAGATACCTCCAATTATAGAGAAAGAGAAAGAAGAAATGAATATAATACGGTGATGTATCTAGTCAGAATGATGGTGAAATTCATCTATAGAGAGATAGACACATGATGACTAATATTAGTAATCTAATCTTATCCATTAAGTTTAATCTCATAGTTAATAATTATTATTCTCACTCTCACATAAGTTGATCATTCTCACTAGATACATCATTCATATATATATATATATATATATATATATATATATATATATATATATATATATATATAAAAACACAATTGTAATATGATTTTAATCAATATTCTAATATAATATTATTTCATAATTATAATATCATCTTAATTCATAAATGTTATTGTTATGTTGTTCGACAGTTCTGTTATGTTATTAATTCATATGTATGATATAATGTTATTGAAGATTTCTTACTAAATGAATTTTTCATCCTAACGTTAAAGTTATTAAAATATTTGTTTGAGTAAAATGAGTTATATTTAATAGTCAAATTAAATTGTGTTTAAAATTTTAAATTAAAATTTATAATTTTTTTCTCTTGTTAATTGTCCAAATAATATATGAGATGTAAAAAAATACATAAATACATAAATTACTTTCAATTATTTTTCATATTTTTTAATTTATGGGTACCCATGGATTCACTGGGTACCCAAAGATCCGCACATATTATATCCAACGGATATTAGCACGGGTCTGGGATAGATTTATGTCTAAAAATAAATCATCGGGACGAGTCTGTATAATGTACTACCCAGACCCATTGACATTCCTAATTTTGCCATGAATGCTTGAATATTTGCAAATTTAGAAATCAGTGACGTCTGTATAATTTACAATTCATATGAAAGCTAATTTACAATTCATTTTGTCACGGAGACATGGAGGTGCCCGTTTAATTGCACACAAGCCTGGCCTGTTGAAGGGTGGGCTGGGCTGGGCTAGCCTGTATAATATATATTTCTCTGTTTATTGATCAATTTTATTGAATAAGTCATAGTTTTCAGAATTCAATAACTGTTCAGCCTCTTGTTTTTAAATGTGAGGCAGGTGGCTAGGGCTTAAGCCTGAGACAACAAAAGACCACATTGAGAAACTGAGAATGAGGTGAACACAAGTCCGCAACCCGAAAAGGAAGAATTAATTCTATCACGCAAACAAATGCAAAAGGTCAAAGTTAGCAGAAGGAAAGAAACGTAGCAAGAAGCAAATAGCAATTAGGATCGTGAAAGATGAATTTTTTTTTTTTTTTTTTGTAAGAATGTCTCTTGTGATATGAAGGGACATACCATTTATTCGTTGGATTAACATAACTCTTGAGTAGAGAGTTGTCAATGAAATGGTAAAACTCTTGAGAAAGGGTCTATGTAGTGCTTGATGGAATCACTATAATCATCTGAAAATGACTTGAAACACTGTCATTATCTCTGCCCATAAAGATTGTCTCTATCAGCTATCACTAAAGGAAGAGCATAGAAAGGAATGAAAAGAGATAAAAGAGTTTCTCTATTGACAAGAACAACACACAACACATAATGGAGAATCATATCGTCATGAAAAGAGGTAATTCATAATCATTCTTATTATGTGAAAGCTATAGATTCTAAAGATCCATTTTCATGTTTTTCATAAATGAACATTTTTGGACAAAGATAGTGAGTGATGTAGTTACAAGTTACTAGGTAGTTAATTATCATTTAATATTTCTCATGGAATCTTTGGTTGGACCCCCATTGAGTAACTTGTGCTACACTTCCCTATAACTCTATCTTACCCAAAATTTCAGCCCTTCAATTTGACAGTGGGACCGTTTTCTCATTACAACAAGGCATTCAACGAGTCCAAATCATCCCTTTATATTGTATTTCTACTTTTTTTTCTTCCTCCACTCTATTTCACTTCATTCACCCTTTAATTAATTGGATAGTCTTTTTAACGGGACCTGAAAGAGAACACTTATGTGTTTTACTTATTTTTCCAGGAAAGAGTAGTTACATGAATATATGACTTCAATTTAGATAAGTTTCATACAACCATCATCCAAGAGGCATGTAAAAATAAGTGAGACAAGATAAAAGCATAATAAATAGGAAAAGGTGTAAGTATCCCCGAGATTAAGACATTAGTTATAGTATAAAATCTTCCTATCACATGTTAAACATCTTCTCCTTTCATTAAAAAGATATCAACCTTTCTAACTAGTATGACATTCTCAGTTCAACCAATGCACAATTGCTGTTTGCATTTGACAAAAACAGATTTCCTTTTTTTTAGATATTGTTTATTAGGCTACGGTAATAAAGCACTTTGTATGTATGTTATCCTTAACTTAGGAGTCCGAATGAGTTGGAGGGTGCATTTGCTCACAGCCACACACCGATATCACAATAAGTAGAGGGAAAGTTAAATATTATTGAGATGAACTCCTAACTTATTAGACATGTGATCCTATATTTTCATGAGATGAATAATAAATATGTACATAGATAATCATTTTTATAGATAATCAATAACCAATATAGCATCAACCTATTAATGTAGGGTTTACATCCAAATATATATTCTTCACACATTCCACTAAACAAAATGAATCTTAAAAAACATAAAATATTAATTATTAAAAATTAAATACACAACTACCAAATACAATACATAGCAAGCTTAATGAAATACAATACATAACTAAGGAAATGAAAAAAAAGGAAAGAATTGCATTCCTGAGTGCAAGAAATATCTCAACCAAGGAACATACATATATGTCCCAACGAAAACAATCAGAAAAAAGAAGTAAATATTAGGAGAGGTTGAACGGTAGAAGTTATATTTTTCTTGTTTTTACAATTTATAAATGATAAGAAAACAAGGCAATACAGCACGCGATTCAAACACAAACAACTCGTTGTTATCTCCACTCACCGAGTCGAACCCAACTCGCCCTTCTAACAACGAGTCCATGAACCCTTCTTTCTTTGATACCCGACCCGCTATCACCCGGCACACCAACATGGCCCTTGTTCCCCTCCCTCCGCCGGAGCTCTCATGGGCTTCGCCGCTGCCGGAAAATATGCAAACCGCCGATCCTTTCCCACCCGGAAACGACCATGCACAAGCTCCGCCGTAGGGACCACGGCTGGACGTGGGACCCAGGCAGTGAAATCGCATGACCTCGTTCCCATCCGCCACACACCGCGCATTCTCCTCCCAGCTTCCGCCACGTGTCGGGCTACCCGACCCAGAACGACTCTTCACCGCTTCACGATACTCCTCGAACCTTGACACCGTTCTTGGAGCGTTGTGAACCTTGAATATCATCTCGACCCGACCCAAGAACGGTTTCGTGCCCCAACTCGTGTGAAAGATAATCTCCAAAACATTCCGTGAAGGATGCCCTTCAGTAAGCTCAGTCAGGGAAGGGAATCGTGCTTCCGCCGCCGCAGGATTGCGACCAGTAATGACGGTAGTACTTTGTGAGCGGTTGATGGTGGTGGTTCTGACTGGGGTTTCAAATTCTGATTTATTCGTTGTTGCTGTTGTTGGGTATCTGGAGGTGAGGTGTTTCTGTAACGGAAGCCTGGGCTTGGGCTTGGGCTTGGGCTTTTTAGAGTGAGGCTTGGTTGTTGTTTTATCAACAACGTCTTTGATGTTCTGGAGGGTGTTTCTACAACTGGCAGTGGGTTTGAGGTGTTTAGAGTTTGGATGGTAAACGTCTTCAAATGCTTTTGACTTGCATTGCAATTTCTTAACCCAACCACTCGCCATTACATCAACACATTCACTAATATCTTAAACGATTCTGTGGTTTTGTGACATATTGTTTCTGCTCTGTATTCAAAACAAAACAGAGGATTCAAGAAAACAATGCATGAGGAGTCGCCATAATAAATGGATTTTAGGGTTATATTGGTTGGGAAATCACGGTTCTGCCCTTTTCAACATTTTGGAATTACTACTCCACGTGGATTATGTCTGTCTCCTTCTTTAGTAGTTCTCGTAAACAACAATTTCCATTAATTAGGAAAACAAAATATCATCACAAGTTGGATTTCGTGTTATATGCTATTGTGAATCCTCCACCTATATTCAATCACCACGTTTTGATTTTATTCACTGTCATTTTCATGTTGGGTTTATGGGGTATCGTTATTTAGACTTTTATCTCACAACTTTAATTGGTTTCTTTGATATTCATTGCCCTTGCTATAACCAATGATATAGTTAGGAAATAATCCATTTTAGAATAAGTGTCATCCTTTTAATAAATGTTATTAATATGATTCGAATAACTTTTAACCTTTTGTTATTTCTTGGATCTATTTGGGTTTTATATTACTATACCAACACTTTTATGATTCTATATTCTTAACAATTGGATCCCTCCCCTAAAAAGAATATTAATTATTATACTTAAAATACTTTTTAGTAAAATATATTTATAAAATAAAATAGAAGTATTAAAAAAGTGTTTACAAGATACCGTGGAACTCCTTAATGGAATGTGTAATGGTTGGAGAGTCAACATCCATAATGAAGATAGTATTAAAATACGTGCTTATCATATTTGTTAGGGTCTTTTTCGTCTTTTGCTTGGTCATAGTTATACTCTATTCGTTTCTATGTCTTTTAGGGTGCGACCCCAAAATCTGGTCTTGTATATATGAACAATAGATGTGTTGTGACTCATTGTTGGGAGAAATATAATTCTTCAACAAACCGATATCAGTTCCAATCCTATAACCCATTTCAATTAAGGCTCTTATATACACTTATGTTTTTATATTGAAATTGTCTAATATATAATTAATTTTATAAAAATAATTTAAAGCTAGATGGAGGCCGTATTAGTGAAATGGAGGAAGTTTAATTGTCAATGCAGGGCTTTTCATCCATGCAATCCAGTTTGTTTTGTTTTTCTTTTCATCTCACTTAACAAAAGTGCAGGGTTTGGGTGGAAGCTAGACATTTAAAAAGGGACATGAGAGTTTGGAGTGGGGAATAGAAGAATGGAAATACCACTAGAACATAGTATAGCTAGGGACAAAGCAGCATATAAAGAAGCGCTGAATTTTAAACTAGTAAAACGACAAGATTTCTTCAACTTTTCTCATTTTGTTTTTTTCTTAGTTTCCCTTAAGCAAAGTGAGAACTAATTAAATATGCTAATCTCTCTATCCCTAGTTATAACTTTATAAGTTATTTTATTAATTCATATAGATTGAGAACTCGGACAAAAATAATAATTACTCTGCTATTTATAAAAAATCATCTATAGCATTCCAAAATCATTCCTTAATTTATCTGTGGGAAACACGATTAGATTAAGCCATTTAGATGTTATACATATTGAAACACTGAACCAAAAAAGAAAATAAAAAAGGTTTCAACAATTTCAAGTTTTGAGTGAGTTAGAAGTGAGACAAGAATGAGTTTGAGTTAACAAAAGGGGCAACCAAATCTAGCACGGCTTATGTTAAAAGAAATGGAGAATTATTTTCTTCCCTACTAATCATATTGCCTTATGGAAAAAGTAGATTTTGTAAATAAGTAAAAGTCTTAACTGAGGGAGTTGATAATGGGGACCCATCTTTCTGGTCAAAGTAGCTTATGAAATGGATCACTTAAAGCATTGCAATTTGAAAGTTTCCCTGCCATGTCAACACTTACACCTAGAAAATAAAAAAGTTCAAGAAGGAAGAATTTGGATCCTAGGATAAAATTACTTCGAAGTGAGCACTCAATAAGAGTCTATCTACTTTTCAAATAAAATAAGAGTCTATCTTAACATTATTCAATGATATCATACCTTAAAAAATAAAGTGTATTATATAACTTTTAATTCACTGCATGATTTTATGGTGTATATTAAGGGTATTATCTAGTCCAGCAGTGTTCATTTAATTTGTCTATCTTACATTTTAGAATCTAGTTTGCATAAATCTAAATCAAATTATGAAGTTAATTTATTAATGAACTGTAATCATTTCAATCATTTTCTATATCCAATTGTCTAGATTGATGCATATTAAGTCAATGTACATTAGAAAAGTTGGAACCTTTTCCAAAGGATAGTCAAAAGTTAATTCTTTTTTGAAGAGTTAAAAATATTAAAGTAAATTTGAACTTTATCAAAAAAATCATATGTATTTCCTTTGTACATAATACCTAAAGTATATTGTATAATACACATATAATAGAAATTTTATATTAAAAAATCACATCAATACATATCGAGAAGTGT